CTTGTTTCAATTTCCTTGCGTGTTCAAAGATAAAATCAAACCCAATAAAGTGATATTCCTTAGCAAATGGTAAACGGTAAAAGAAACCCAAGCACACCTTGAGGGTCTGTTTGTAACTAGGAAATGGTAAAAGAAATGAGGACGAAATGAAGGCAAGGTTTATGTAAAAAATGCTTCAAACACAAAAATCACTTTTAGGTGGATGTTCCAATTCATTTAGTTAGCCAAACTTGAGTTTTCAAGTCAAAGGTGTCTAACTTTGACTGATTTCATATTTATATATAGAACTATTGATAATATGAAAATGATACAAAAATGTTCTTTGTCAAAATACTATCATAAAAGTTTAAAAATATTAAATTTTGCATAAATATATTAGTTAAAATAATTGGTCAAAGTTTACCATCTTTGACTGGAAAATGCAAAGATGGCTAACTAAAATGGAACGGAGGTAGTATAAAGTATAAAGCTAAGAAATTCAAGTATATATAAAAACAGAAAATTAGCATGGATATGACTAAAATTCTCTCTTTCCTAATTTATAACCTTATTAGTTTTTTCCAAGAAAATATCTATTTGGTAATATTTACAGAATATATTTAATAAATACATAAATAAATAATATTGACTAATATGCCCTTAACTTATTATTGTTAAACCCCAACTTCCCACCCCTTCTTCTAAGATCGATCGACTGCTTCTCTCGACCCCCTGATGGACAAGGGGTGCCCGGAGGATGATGTTGGACCAAAGGTTGGAGACGAAGGGTCCCCCTCGACAGACAAGGGATGCTCGGAGGAGGGCGTTAGATCAAAGGCTAGAGACAAATGGTGCCCTGAATCAGCCACGCCATCCAAGAGAGGTTCGGAGATGAGGGGATGATTGGTGCCTTGTTCCTGGTACAGGGGATGGTCTCGACTGCTATTACACGCAAAAGAGAGTTGCACTCTCAGGTGGATGAGGGGTTCTAGGAGATTTGACAAGCAAGGTGCTCTGGTCTTCCTTGCTTTGGCTGATGCCGTAATCGCTGATGCCGTGTTGTGTAGCGGATTGAAAGCAATTGATTCTCCTTTTTGTTCTTTTTAATGTTTAATGACATTGGATGGGAGCCTTGGCACACTGGTTAAGGTGTTCCTGTGTGTCTGAGAGGCCATGAGTTCAAGTTTTGGAAGCAACCTCTTATAAAAAGTTTGATATTCCGGGTTCAAGTCTTGGGAGCAAACCCTTGTGATGAGACCCTTCCTTCTACTCTTGCCTTGCGGGGACGTTTTTCGTGCACTGGGCTGTCCAAAAAAGTTATATAATGACATTGAGCAGTAATGCCGGAATGAAAGGCAGTGACAGAGTGATTGGCAATAGCGTAGGTGGGAAGAGAAGTAACGCTGGTGAGAAGTGCAATGATTCCAACTGGAAGTGTTTTAATGTCGACAAAAGCTGTAACGCCAGCATGAAGTGCGGTGACGTCGAGATATATGGCGTATATTTATTTAAACGAAATAAATTCAAAATATACCTTTTCTTTATTAGCCTATTTTTGTCATTCAATCCTCTTAATATTCAATCCTCTTTAATATGACGAGAGTTTTTTCTGCTTTTCAGTCATACGAATGACTAAAAACAGACATAGTCATAATTTGGGAAACTGCCCATGTTTTTAATCATATTCATGAAATTTTCTCATATAAAAAAACGAAAAAAAGCTATATAAGAATTGTTTTTTCTATGTATTCTTAAGTTATCCCGAACATGTAAAAAACAAAAAAATAATTTTTTGGCAACTTTCTTCCGTTTCCTACCATTTCCTATTCCAAATCAAAAGCCTAAAACATTTGCGCTAAACATGTTATCTCGATAATGTTGTTTCATCACTGACTGTGACCTTGCCCTGCTCTGATGATACCGAGAACAGGGGATTCCAGTTCTGATTTTCAGCACTGATGAATCAGCAAACAAGGTTTTAGTATGTGCTGGGGTACCAGAGAAAAGTGACAAGTGCAAAGAGCTGAGTGTAAAAGAGTGGCTGAATGTTGCATTGAAGCCTTTAGGTGGTAAAGGTGGAGGAGGACGAGGTGGCCTTGCGCAAGGACAGGTTATATATATTTATCTTGCACATGCCTTTCTTATTTAAGGAGATGTTTACATTTGTTGTATGATGTTTTCTTCATATCTTTCCAGGCATCGGACCTGACACATGTAGACGAGGCAATGGATGTGGCTGCATCATTTGCGTCTATGAAGTTAAGTTGATAGACAAATTTTGTGTGGGGTTCCCTTCATTCTTTTCATAAAATGACAAGGAAATGCATAATCACTTATGGCACTTTTATTCGAATACTTTACACATACATAATGACCTATACCTTTAATTATGCGTGTTTTATTCATCCTTGATAGTCAATACTTAAACATGTTGATTTTTGCTATATAAAGTAGAAGTCTTTTTAAAGTCACTTTGAGAAGTCTAGACATTATCCATCCACTATTTACAATCTACCTATATACGCCCTCCAAGCAAAAAGCTAAAACATCGGTTGCATGGTTGCATGATTTATGATTTGCTCGATATGTATGAAACTTTAACTGAACTAGTACTTCGATTTCTAAGATCATGATGAATTTTTATCAAATGTGAAAAGTGCATTGCTCTATTCGTCGAAAAAGCTTTGTTTAAGAGTTTTAGAAGATCAGGTGGAAATTAGATTAATGTAATTATTACACAACTAATGATTGTACTGTCAAAATTTAAAAGTTGTCTATTAATAAAATACAACGTTGATAGAAAGAGAGTCAGTTTTTTATGATATGGCAAAATCAACATCTTTATGCAAAAACTGTCTAACACTTTTGATGAGTCTCATGACCATTGACCACTAATTAATAACCAATTCAGTAGGTCATAAATCCATTATTGTAGCCAACCGCAGTTTCAAAGTCTGCGGAATTTGCCTGCTGCCCTCCAGAGTCCAGACTTGCGGTTCACTGTCTTCACAATTGAGCAGCACTGAGATTGACTCGGAATTGAAATAAAGGAAAAAACTTACCGCATAAGTAGATTTGCCCAACTGGGTAGCTAATCACAATATGGGGAATACTTTCCAAACAGAGAATTTTCAGTGACATAGAAAAGCCTTTTTGCTTTGAAATAATATTTAAGAGGTTATCTGAATATATAGATGCTCATGAACTCTTATTTAGCAGACATGATAAATAAGGGTTAGGGTTGAGAGTAGTGATGGACCCGGGCCGGTCCGGTTCTAGGCCGGGCCGGGCGGGCTTTTTTTGCAAATCCTTGGGCCCAGAACCGGCCCGGGTTGATACCGGGTCCGGGCCTAACTGGGTGGTAGGCGGGTTGGGGGTGGAATAAATAAGAAAAATATTAAAAGAAAATTATATATATGTACCGACCCGGGCCGATACCGGGCCTCCAACTCCCAAGTCCAGTACCACCCAAGGCCCGACCTGGAACCGGTCCTGACCCGAGCCCGGTTCATCCCTACATGGTAGCCATAAATGAGTTCGTATACCATACGACCAGCCCACTGTCACCATAGTACACTCGCCACCAATACGACGTAGTTCTAGCAGTTGGCCTCATTATTTTTTATTTGTCTTTTTTTTAAAATGGTAATAACTTTTTTATTTTTGATCTGATTTTTATAAAATTTATATCAACATTTTTTATTTTTTATGATCTTTCAAATGAGACCAATATTGCCTATGTAATTTTAACATATTAACATTTGCGTGTAAAAATATGTATGTTTACGTGTTAAAATATGTAATTCATGTTCAGTCAGGCCAAATGCAACTCGTGTGTATAAATATGTAACTTTACGTGTAAATATATGTAAGTCGCGTTCAGACATGTCAAATGCAACTCGTGTGTATATATATATGAAACTCGCTTATAAAAAGATGTAACTTGCTTATAAAAAGATGTAGCTTGCTTATAAAAAGATGTAACTTACTTATAAAAAGATGTAACTCACTCATAAAAAGATGTAACTCAATGTATTATCAAATGTAACTGATGCCACTGATCCACTCCCAAACAAATTCGATCTTCTATTTCACAAACCTATCATCTCCCAAACAGATTCGATTTTTCTTATAATCCAATACTCATTAATATAATAGTTCGATAATTTCTTAAAATTACATACACAATATTGGTCTCATTTGAAAGATCATGAAAAATAAAAAATGTTGATATAAATTTTATAAAAATCGGATCAAAAATAAAAAAGTTATTATCATTTTTAACATCAAAAGCAAAAAAAAAAAAAAAACACTGCGTCGTTTTTGCAACCGGGCGCACCATCCTCATGGTGCGCCGGTTGCACCATATAATTTGCCGCCATAAATAGGGTGTCATGACTCGTGAGGTTCAAATAAGCAACCTTTCATTAATTTCTTCACATATACTTGCTCCATTCATCAATCATGTACTAAGTATTAGATGGCATTAGGGATGGACCCGGGCCGATCCGGTTTTGGTTCCGGGCCGGGCCCGGATGGGCTTTTTTTGCAAATCCATTGGCCCGGAACCGGCCCAGGTTGATACCGGGTCCGGGCCTAACCGGGCCAGGCCCGGTTCAATGTCTATATTTCTTTTTGCTTTCTTGTAATCCCCCGACCCCCCCTCACCCCCACCCCCCAAACCTCCCCAAAACACCCAGCCCTAGCCTAGGAAAAGAAAAAAATTGAAAAAAAAATGACCCGGGCCCAGCCCGAACCGCCCGGGCCGGTTCGCCCAAAACTGGGCCTGAGCCTGGCCCGCCCGACCCGCCCAACGGGCTAAAAGCCCGGAACCGGCCAACCGGTCCCGGTCTGCACAGTAGCGGGCCAGTTCCGGGCCGGTTTGGCCCAGCCCAGTCCATCCCTAGATGGCATTGGTGGTGAGTGCTGACCATTTGATCGAGACCCATAAAAAATCTCCTAGGAATTTCCTGCCTTAGGGGCTATGGCAAAGAGGACAAAGGATTGTGGAAGATATGTTGAGGGAATAGAGTTGAGGGGTTATTGACCATTTTCTCTTGAATTTGGATGTATCAAACTGAAAATTTACATCCTCTAACTTGAGGGAGATGAACAAAACTTCCAGCACTGTCTTTGGAAGTTGCCCTTTTGTCCTCCGTGATAGCTGGTAATTTAGATTTAGGAGCAACAAAATGCAAGTTCGGGCACAATTTATTGGACGATCAAACTATTAAAAACACAATAGATGTAAATGAACCCGGCAAAACTGCACCATAAATCACTTCAACTGACCACCCAGCCTTATATGATATTCTATTAAAAGAATATTAAATAACCCCTTACCAACAACTTATAATCTACAGTCAAATGCAGTGGAACCCCCTTCTGCCGAAGCACTTGAACATCAGTCAAGCGTGGAATAGCCTCTTCCCAGATTTCACCCGTCACTTGGTTTTTGCTTTTGTACCTTCTGGTATCCACGAAGACCAAAATATAGGTACAAGTGTTGATACTGCTTGTACCACAAGACCAGATGGAAAGCCCGAGAAGTCATCCCCAGTAACCATGACATATGAAGCCAAAGCGACCCCAAGATACCCACTCACTATGAGAGCAAGTGCCACAGCAGACATGAGAAATGCCATAACAGACCCTTCACACCCTGGTGGGCAAAGCTGTGCCATCAAAACACTGAAGGGCAGAATCTTGAAAAAACACATTATCTCCAAAACGCCAGAAATCACAACAACATACAGTGAGTCTGGAATACCTATGGTCCTATACAAACCTTTGACAAACAAAACATCAGAGAACATGAAAACCGCCATACAGACTTGAATTGCAGATATTAGTCTCCTTGGCGAGACTGACTTGAGGTGCTTGTTATAAACAATACCCCAAAGAAGCATACTTATCTGTCCAAATACTTTGGAAAAACCTAGTATTGAAGTCTCAATTTTCAATTCTTGTGTTTGGTAGTAGAACATGGTTCCTGTAAGAGCAGGAACTGCAGCAAATGATGCAGAAAACCAAAGTATGGAGTAAGAGATCTCTGGTTTCTGCAATGTCGCAAGAAGATTCGAAAGTTGCTTTTTGATCCCTTGATTATTAGACACTGTACTTTTGGGAATGTCTAGAGATGTCTCCTTGATGAAAAGTGTTACTAGAAACTGGAGAGAGAGGAGGGCTGCAAAGAGAAGGAACATTGCTTGAGTGGAGATTCTGTTTAAGGAGATTCCGACTAATAGATTCCCAAGAACTCCTCCAAGGGAAGATGCCATCCAGACAAAAGACTGAAGCTCTCCTCCCGATGAAGGAGTCTGTTTTCCTATTTCTGCAACAAGGGCATCATTGGCAACCTCAACCACAGAAGCACCCAAGTTGCTGAGCAGCAGATATATGGTGATGGTGGAGAAGGAGATAGTAGAGTATGAGAGGAGTGCAAGAATTATCCATGACAGAGCTTGCAAAAAAGCTGCATGAAAAAAGTAAATCATGCAAATGCTCAGAAGTTCCGAAATAAACTAATAAAGAATGACTCAACAAGTACTGTATTGGATGATTTGGATCATGGCCCGCTTCAAGAAAGATCCAGTACAGTCATCAGCCAAATCAGATAATTGACAATATGTGTATCCTTATTATGAAAGGTAAAAATGAAAACATACTTGTTCTCAACAATGGGCCTTTAGCGATGTTTTTTGATGAAGACCTAAAAGAGTAACAGCAACCAAAGAAACCATTTTTCAATCAACTGCGCTGAAGTTGATCAAGTTCCACTAAGCCTACTCAGAGGGTGTTTTGAGTTTTTTTAAAAAAGCTAAGGAAAGGAAAAAATATGTTAGGAAAGTTAATTTCTTTAGTCTATTTTACTTCAAAAAACATTGAGGTAAATCACATATTATTAAGTTTATTCTTCTTCTCAGATTCATCAATCCTTATAGAATAAAAAAAATTGAACGAAATAAGTTTAAATGGATGTCAAATATGAACTTATTGAGTTTGAACTGTGAACTAATGTTGTATCTCCTTCCGAATTCCTTCCTAACTTCCCCAAATTCCAAACGGGCCCAGATAAACCGGAGTACGGGACACATTCGAGCTAAGAAATCAACTAGTAATGAGAAAGTGAGACTTAATTAACCTCCAAATGCAATGTAAGGAATACGGTGCTGGCCATATACGTAAATGGAGTCAGAGAGGATGCCATAGAAGGGCTTGGCAACCATGGGCAGATTGGCAGAGCTTTGAAGGATCTGAAGGGTGGAGGGATCCACACGGAGATCATCCTTAAGGAAGAAATTGACAGCCATCCATGGAAAACACCTGAAGCCCTGCACCCAGAACCCTAACCCTAACAGCACCCTCCTCATCGTCTCACTTCCAACCCCTTCCCTTCTCCTCTGATTTCTCACGACATTATTGCTCCTCTGACCCTCATTGCGGTCTCCTCTTTTCCTCCTCGCCTTCCCTCCTCCCCTATTGTCAGCCTCGGAGGACTTCATTCCGACGGCGTCCGATCAAATTACGGCGGATTCGAGATTGCGGTGGAGTTGAGATCCCAAACTAGATTGGGGAGCCTAAAGAGTGCGAAATCTGCAAGCCTGGATCCGATTTAGACCCAAGTTTGTGGGGCGCAAAAGAAATCGGGGGGACGTGTAAAGACTGAGCTTGGCTATGTCCGCTGCAACGCACCTCTTCCGACATGTCAGGATCTCTTTACACTTTACAAACTTTGAAAACGAAGCACTTTACACGGGAAAAATGGGAGCGCCCACCGCCCACGGTGAGACTGAGTGAAAGACTTGAAATTTTTTACACTTATCGTTAATCTCATTTTGAATTTTAAAAGATTAAGTAATAATAGAAATCTACGAATATTTAAGAACAATTACAGCTATACGATTGTGATAGAATGTTTTTGAACGTAGAAATCCACCAAAATCCATCTAAATACGAAGTCCAAATCGGTGACACCTAAATTCTGGCGGAATTCTAAACTCTATTAAAATATCCAAGAATTCATATTGGGGACACCCCTAAGAAAAACTGAGGAATTGTCTACTACTCTACTCACTTTCTTACTTTTGAGCTGGACTAATGAAGTGTTTTTTTAATACCCCGTATGAATTATTCATGGTGTACACAAAAAGGTTACACTTTTTGTACTCGCGTCTCTATATACAATTTTTTTTTGACTTTTTCTAAATGAGTTACTTGTATTAGTTGTATACACAAACAATTAGAGTCTGTATATAAAAAGTGTACACTTTTTGTGTATCTCCATTTTGTTTTTGTTTTTTAACATAATTGTGAGTGTGATAGACTGTTTTTTTTTTGTGTGTACGAAAGCTTAATGGAGAATTTAAAAATGGTAAGCATGAGTATTTATTTTACAATTTTGAAAACAATACGAATATTCTCCGTCTATTTGAACTTTTTCAAAGTTATAATCATGTAAAATAATAAAATAAAAATTATGTTGTTGAGGTTCATGCATAGGAAAGAAAATTAACAAGAATCACATATTAATTAATTATTTAAAGAGGAAATAATGGAGTGCATTGATGGTGAGATGACAAAATCATGGAGAAGGTCTATTTTAAAAGTGGGCCAATAATTTATGGGGGGGGGTCTATTTGAACACAACTCCAATGCAAATTGTACACAATTTGCACACAAATGTCGGTCATAAACTTCAAATCCGCATCGCATCGGGACTACAAATTTGGAACGGATGGAATATTACATTTATGTCAATGAATGAAAGAATAAATAGATTTATATGTTCGTGAAATTATTCAAGATTAGCAATCAATTTCAACTTGTTATGGGTTGTGAATTAACTCGTGAGTCATGCAAATATTTGACGGTTTAATTCTACATTTATGAGAACTGATCATGAAAGTTAATGGTACATTTAAAAGGCTTAATGTTGTCTGTTAGGACTTTTTTTTATGTATTTATATGACATTTGATGTAATTAAGGCGAGGGATTAATTAATTTGTGTTGTTCCAATGACGAGTCTCAAACCGTCACAACGGATGAAACACTCGGAAGAATATTAATTACTTTTCCTATAAGTAGGAGATTATCCCATTATAAACATAAGACATTGCTACTCGAAAATACGCACAATTATACTCTTGATTTCTACCCTAATTTATATATTTCTTGATTTTCTTTTAATTCTTGTACGTAACCTGTTGGATTCACATGTTTTCTTTAATTAGTTTCAGGTTACGAAAAATAGCTTAAACTTGTACATTTATAGTTTCAGCAATGGGACTACCAATTTTGGGACGGAGGGAATATTACATTTATGTTAAGAATATATAAACAAATTTATATAGTCGTGAAAATTATTCAAGATTAGCAATCGATTTCAACTTGTTATGGGTTGTGAATTAACTCGTGGGTCACGAGTCTTGGAGCAAATATTTGACGATTTAATTCTATATTCATGAGAATTGATCATGAAAGTTAGTGGTACATTTATAAGGCTTTAATGTTGATTGTTAAGACATTTTTAATATGACATGTGATGTAATTAAAGAGAGGGATGAATTAATTTGAGTTGTCCCGATGATGGGTCTCACACTGTCACAACGGATGAAACGCTCAGAAGAACATTAATTACTTCTCCTATAAATAGGAGATTATCCTTATGTAAACATAAGACATAGGTACACAAAACTACACATAATTTCACTCTTGATTTCTAGCCTGGTTTATATATTTCTTGATTTTCTTATTTTTCGTGTATGTAACCCGTCCTATTCACATGTTTTCTTTAATTAGTTTTAGCTTACGGAAAATAGCTTAAACAATTTGGCATTGTCTGTGGGAAACGTGCAAGAAAAATTATCATCCATGAAAGCTGTGATGGCGGAATTCCAAAAGCAAATAGAGGTGACGGAGGAGAAAATGCAACATGTCATTTTATCGAAGGAATGCCAACACAAACATGGAAGTTGTACGCTAAACGGCCATCCAATGCGCGAGGTGCAAGCCTAGAAGTCTAATTGAAATCGCCACAAAGGGGCAATATTGCACAAACAATTCATTGTAATTTCAAAGTTACAAACATCAAAACCAAATATGAAGCACTCATTATGGGTGTCATCATTGCCAAAGATTTAGGGGTGAAATTGCTTTAGGTAATAAATAGTGATTCTTTGCTTATTGTGAATCAAATTAATGACATATATGCAACAAATAATCAAAAAAATGACAGTCTACTTGGATATCGATGTCGTCATAACATTGACGAATTGCTTCGACGAATGCACAATTCGACATGTCATAAGAGGCGAAAATGTATAGGCCGATTAGGTGACATTCGTAGGTTCGTGTTTAGGTTTCGAGCTATATGAAAACATCACCTGACAAAATCAACGATTGACAGGGTCGAAACAGTCAACAACGTTGAGTTATATATTGATGAGTCATGTATACAACCACATTAGATTATTTAAAGCATAACATACTACCACCTAACAAAAGAGAAGCACAAATAATATTGTCTAATGTGAGTAAATTTCTTATTATAGATGAAATTTTGTTCAAAAATTTATAAGTAGATTCACATAAAAAATGTATTGAACACGACGAAGCGAACAAAGTTTTTCAAAATCTTCATGACGGGGCACATGAAGTGAGACTCTTCCATGAGCGAGACTACAAGTCCAGGAAACCTTATTCGAGACCCAGGGAATGAGCTGTCACACCGTGACATGGTGAGGCATACAAGATGATAGCAATCGTCGGACAAGGGGCACAACGTAAAAAATCCCAAGATGACAAACAAGTTCCAATGAGTTGGAATGCGGAAAAGTCAAAAATGAACAATGACGATGTTCTGACACATGTCAAATAAAGCCTTACAGAAACTTCAAAACATAAATGACGGGGCTTGCATCATTATAAGGGACGAAGTGAGTTTTTCATGTCTTCTAAACATGAGTGCAAAGACCACTGATTCTATACAAACAAAGCTTTATAGAAACATTAAAACATATGATGGGGCTTACATAATAAAAGCCTTTCAGAAATGTCAAGATATAAACGATGATGCTTACATAATTACAAAGGAAGAAGTAGTTTCTTCATATCTTCTAAACATAAGTACAAATATCACCGATTCTATGCAACATTTTGAACAAAACTGTACAAAAAAACAGAGTACAAAAAAATATGCTTCAAAAGTATAACACAAAACAACAAGAAACTCCAAAACAAAAGGAGGCGACACACATGACATCGACACGAGCATTAAACATTCATGTTTAGATTTACAATATAATATAACTAAAATGCAAACATAATAGTGTTCAAAGTTTTTGTAGGACATCACACACACTCATGGAGTCGGAATCCAACGAGGGATGAAGTCACCCTTGCCAACCAAGGCATCAACATCAACATGGACAAAATTACAATTTACCGACGTTTGGTCATTAGCATAACTTTGGAGGAAAGAAGACAAAATCTCAGTCTTCATTCTTCATTCTTTCAGTCAAAGAGACAGATTCAATCAAAAGCAACTTGCGAGGAAGTTAGGACAAAAGCGCTCCGTTAGACGGATGACATATTGACAAGCCTGTTTGGTTACACGGATCAACAACGCAATAATCAAGGATGTGAAATACATATTCTGTCATGATTTCGAAAAGTTGCTGCTTAACAGGTCAACATGTGCACCATATGCATCAATATCTCGTAAGGATGCAATTGCTAGAGCAAATGTTTGACGGTTAAATCTACATTTATCAGACTTTATTAAAGAGAAATGGAAGTACAAATGAGGAGGAGGACTAGACCAATACCTCTTCCAGGAAAAGTATTACAGAAAAAGTATAACAAACTACAGCAACAAACAAAGAATCACGAACGAAAAGAAGGAATATTAAACTACATTTCCGTATATATATATATATATATATATATATAAACCTGTCATGTAATATTACACTAAAAATATAAGGGTGACACCGTTTCCGGGCCACCCTTACAAAAAAGACAAATATTAATCAAATCAAGAAACCCTAAGTTATCATACGTGGCCAACCTATTACGAAAGGTAAGCCAAGTAATGAAAGAAAACTTAGGGGGAATATAGGACTTCCAAATAAAGGACATCCATAGGTGGATAGTTTCTTTAATTCTAAGCAATTCATACACTTTTGAGGAAGAGAGCTTCCCATTAAAGAAAATCTTCTCAAGATAGCTCACGACCACATTGAGAGTAGGGAACTTGGAAACCATCAAGTCTCATATAAACACAAACTTTTTCATTATCAAGGAATCCCTATTGTCTGGAACAAAGGTCCACACATCCCTACCATGGAGGTAAACCCCATGTACCCACTTGACCCAAAGTGAGTCCTGTTTGGAATGAATTTTCCAAAGGGTATAGGACTGGATATCAAATGTCACGCCCCAGACCGCATCTAAGCGCGTGTACAACCGCCGTGTGATCAAGTGACGTCACTCGCAAGTCAACCTCAATTAATCACACAAGGCGTTCATGAACATCGTTCACACCATACTCAGTAAATAAACTCACATAACAACATCACATCATAGATTGAATGAATAGCGGAAAATATTCAACGGTCAATCATAAGCCACATATGGCAAAACGTAGGCTACCAGGCCAAAAACAATGTAATATTAAAAAAGTATCCACGAACATTGTTTATAATTTAAAATAGCAAAGGAGCACGAACCACGTCTTCCTCTAGATTCTTTCCACCCGTGCAAAGGTGTAGACAACAGGTTCTAGCTTCAACCTAAAATGGTGGGCGCCCCCGAAGAAGTCAGTACAAGTATC